AAATATGAAGAGGATGTTCCCCCCACCACTGCCTGGTCGACTAGGACGACGTTTCTTAAATGAAAAATCGGAGATTCTATGTTTGCGCCGCAATATCACCACTCATGGGGCGCGTAGAAGACAAATAAAAACACTTTTATTATGCAAATCGAATCCAAGCTATCGATTGAATTCACTTAGAAGTTCATCGGATCAGCCGTTGTCGAGATCCGGAAATCTGAGGGCCTGTCAACTCGCGTACTCGCGTAAACTACACGGTCGGTCTCGCGCGCGCGGTACTAGCTGCGCTTATACTTGGCGCGAGACACTACCGTGTCTGAAATTCAACAATCAGTTTTCCACTAAACTGTAATTTCACTCCAACGGCAATAAATTCATGGTGGAACCAACAGATGATGCCTATTAATTTTAGCAGAAACCATCTCATATTAGGAGCCTATCCCATAAGGGACCTTATATTTCACATATAACCTCTCGCATTGGCTCCTTCCTGTTCCTTTGTTCTTATTTGATCAATCGTTGGGGTCTCAATTTTACTTAATTTGTATTTTTTGAATCTCGCGTGTCTCCGCTCGCTTAGCGGGACGCACGTATCTTTCTGGGGAGGTGCAATTACGGATTAATGAGGTGAAAGATTTACAGTTGCGATATCAAGCATTCGTGACGCGTGAAATATTCAGAGGTCGCCGAATGTACCATTTCTCTGCATTTCGGAGCGTATTCCTAACAGCGGATTGAAAAAGTGAAGTTGACAGGGGGCCGACGGTCGCATTGTCGACAAACGTCAAATGACAAATGGCAATCTTTGGCGAACGCGCCGCCGCAAATGTCCCTTCGACATTTTTCGACAGGAGCCGACACGCCGGGGTATGTGTGTGACCTAACGACCTCGCCGAAAAAGGGTGAACGTACTGGCGTGTCACACGTGCGCGGGTAGATCGTTCCCATTTACCCGCGCCTACTCCCGGCGTTGCGACTTGTCTCGTCGCAAGTAGTCGCCGGGCTAAGGACCTGAACAGAATGGCTGTCTTATACCCTTAAGACAGCCTTAAGACAATGTTTTACGTTTTAAGCTTTCGATAACGCACAATACTGTCTTATGTCTT